TGTAGATTTTCCACTGTTCAGTTCTGTTTTTTCCACTCTCTTAAGTCAAAGTTAGCACTTGCCATTAAATGAGTTGATTTTGCAATAAAGTATTCTGCTTCTTCATTCGAATTCACTGAAGTGACACAGTTGTCAACATAGAAGGAATTTTTCAATTTTGTAGCCACTTCCTTCAAAGAAGGTTCACATTGGTCTAAATGAGAGTTGATCACTGCTCCTAAAAGAAACGGACTGCATTTTATTACGAAGACTACTCTGCAAAGGCGAAATGTTCTTATTTCCTTTGTTTCCGAGTTTTTCCACCATAGGAATCTTAGGAAATCACGATCAGATCTTTGAACAGATATTTGAAGAAAAGCTCTTTTAATATCTGAGATAATCCCTATTTTTCCTTGCCTAAATTCAAGAAGCAATCTAGGTATTAATTCAATTAAATTTTGACCTTTTGCTAAACAGTCATTAAGTGACAGGAAATCCTTTTGCTTGCACGAAGCGTCAAATACAGGCCTTACTGCTGTTGTACAGTTATCTTTGAAGACCGGTCTGTGGGGAAGATAATGATTGTTAACTCGTTCCTCTTCTTCTGTTACTTCTTCTATTACTCCAGATTTGAGGTGTTCGAAGAATGGCTCAGAGTGAGAATTTTCTGCTGTAATTACTGAATCATGATTTCTAAGCGAAACTCTTAAAATTTCCTCGGGAATGCAAGATTCCACGAGCGGAAACAGCATTGCAGCGTATTTATCGCTTATCATTCCTATTGACTCCAACGAACGTAAATACTACTCTAACTTGTCATACAATTCTGATATACTGCATTTTCTCTTTTGATCAGTGGCATTTTTAATAATCAAACCTAATAATTCCCGAATATAGAATTCTACCAACAATTCTTCCCTGCCAAACCTATTTTTTAAGCTTTCTATAACTTTTTCATAATTTTAGGCAGTTGCAGGGAAGCTATTTACAATATCCCGAGGTCTCGTACCGGGTACGGTCGCTTGAATGAGATAATGCATCTTATCCTCGTTTTGAATTTCTTCATGTATTCGTCGAAATTGCCCCCAAAACGGTAACCAATCTTTAATTTCACCACCGAATTGTTTTAACTCTATTTTAGGTAATTTCAGTTTCCGTTTGTTCGAATTCCGCGGAACATTTAGTAGATTGTATCATTTGGAGACTGAAGAATAATTCCGTTTTTACTCGTATTAAATCTAATTTTTCTTTGTATTCTTCAACTTTCGCCCATTCATTTTCAAACTGATCATTTGAACAAAATTCTGAATTTAATATTTGAGTATCAAATGCATTAAGTTCAACAGATAAACGTGGAAAAGTAACAAGTTTCGTTTTTATAAATTCTTCATCAGGAATTTCCTTTTCTAATTCATGGAAAATTGCATTAATTGTTCTTGTAAAAGACGCTCTGACAGGTTTTCGTTTCTCAATTAACGATTCCATTTCAATAAAAATAAATTCAATGAAGTCAAATAGAATTAAATTCAATAAAACCAATAAAATTACCTTGACTTGTTTTATGATCACTTCCGTCGTCACCAAAATTGTACGAGATTTGCAAGAATTACCCTTTCTCCTTTCTCCTAATAAACTTAAAAAAAAACTTTACATATAAAATTCTAAAGCGTCATATTTATTTTCAAAATTCGTAGAACTACAACAAACTACAACAAAAATCAGATGGTTGCCACTCTTACAGTGATAAACTATGAAAAGAAAAATAACAACTGAGGCTGAATTCTAACACTAAGAATAGCTGCATTGGCTTATTTTATCTTCTGTTACTTAATAACATAATAAAGTTAACCTTGAATCCTTTATCAAGTAATTCTTGAGTGATTGTTTGGGGATGTGTGGTGATGGGTAAGCCTTTTATTGTGACTTTTAAAACCTTCTCTTCGGGCAATAAGTAGGTGTGGGCCTTAAGCTTTGTTTCCTCTACTATTTTACGAATGAATCGATTTGAGTCAGAGTCTGCAGGCTGTATTTCGAGGGAGGCGTCCTTTTAAGATGCCAGTTATCTCTTTTCCGGTTCGCTTGTTTAAATTTTTAAAGAATTCATCCACTTTTGGAACGTCATCTACGACAATTAATAGGCACTTTATCAATTCTGTTCGTTTTTGGGTTGGGGTTTGGTTTTTCTATTTGCGGGAATGGTGTCACTCTTGTTTGGTTGGTCTTTTGGGGTGGTAGTGAGCTGAGTGGCTGATTCATCTTCGTGGTCCAAATGCATGTCGTCTATTTGGTTCTCTTATTGTTTATATCGATTGCTGGTTTTAAGGGAAGGCTTCTCATCGGCGTCAGAATCCGTTTGTCTATGGGGCAATTTTCTTTTTCTCTGTTCTTTGAAACCACTGGTGGATTGAAGTATGTCGCAAAAGTTTTTAATCTCTTCAAACTGTTTAGCGAGTTTATCGTTAGAGGCTTGTAATTCGTTTATTTTTGCATTGGCCATCTCCTTTTCCAGCATACGCAGTTGATTAATTGCTTTTATAAGGAGAAAGTTAATTCTTTTTTATCACTAGCGGACATAATCACATTTGGGTCGTTACGGATATCTTGGATACTTCCAACCAAAGATCTGATAGTTTCAACGTCATTAGATAAAGTAATTTTGTAATATTTGGAGAATGTTGGGTTCATCATTGAGATGTCTCGTGTGAAGATTTTCTGAGTTTGGAGGTGAATTCTCCATTTTTGTATTATTATTAGTTAAATTTGTGTTTTTTCTGTCATATTGATTGATCATGTGAGGTAAAAAAGGTTCGAAAAAAGGCCTAGCTAGAGGCTGTACCCGAAGGTACCCTTATCAACACGGTGAATAAAGGGAATCAGAAGGAAGAATAAAATACGATCTCCTTTATATAGCGAAAAAGGATGCAGCAGTGGAGGTAAGGCGACGCTTCTGCGAGGCGAAAGCGAAAGAAGAAACAACATAAAGCCCGTGAGGCAAGGTCGATGAACTCGGTTCAGCATCGGGATGGTAGCAACGTCGAGGACACGGAGAGAGAAGCGATAAGACGTCTAGCTCGAACGCTGTCCCAGCTCGGAATGTCAAAACCTTTATAAGTGTTAAAATTAGTCCCTAAGATTTTTCTGTCTAGAATTGTTTTCCCATTATCGAAATTATATTTCCTGAAATCTAGCTTAAAACAGTGATTTTTTTTGACAACACCGATTCTTTCACAAGGCGAACGGACTGGCGCTGCGATTTCGTGATCGCAGCGCCATCACGAATTTCATGCTATGTTTAGACCGAATTAATTATTCAATTCAATGCTGGTCGAAGTATAGATTTATATAAGAGGAGTTTATTAAAACGGATATATGATGTCTGTCTTTCACAAGGCCTTGTATGGTTTGCTGTGACTGGATGAAACATCCCTTTGGCGGTCGTACATGGATTGACCAATTAAGGTACCTTATAGAAGTACCAGATACTGTTGTAGGTTTTGTAACAAAAGCTACACGCACATTATGGACTTTATAGTGAGGAGAAACAGCATTTCTTGCATTAGATAAATTTATATAGTTTATGAACGAAAGCTGAAGGAAATTGTGTGGAATATATTTTAAACAACCTGCTGATCTTATTTATAGTGTTTGGTTAAAATATGAATTAAAACTATTGTTGCTAAGTTGAAACTACAAATTTCATTCCTTGGTCTTAATATTTTTTCTGTCTAACATTTAGCTAGTTCATGTTCCCATAACAGGTTTTCGTTCACAAAATGGCCAAAATGTGTTTTCTTCACATCGTTTAATATTTGTGTCATTGTAATGAAAGATGACATTTGTTAAGACTGTGTGAGCAGATTAGTCTAATTTTCACAGTATGAACTATTACCTCAAAATTATTCCTATATGATTTGATTAATAGTTTTATAAAAGTTTTTACGAAAGAACGAGAAACCTCCTGGAGCAACAAAAGAAAGTGAGAGAAAGGATAAAAGAAGCAAAGGGTATAGACGTATTTTGGAGTTTTCGACATGATATTTAATAAATAAAGGTGACACAAAAAACTTTAAAAAAAAAAAAAAAACCTCTTTAGGCGCAATGTAAAATCTGAAAGCTTTCAGATTTTTTTTTTTTTTACTTTTAATTATTTTTGAACATCGAAGAGCATTATTGTTCTCCAACAGATGAAGGAAAAGAAAAATACTTTGTTTATGTCTTCCAAGAATTTTAAATACTTTTTTACGGATTAAATCTGAAATCCCATGTTCAAGGTAGGATGCTTTCTTCCTTCTTCTTCATTTATGTTAGCTTTTATTGGTAATCATTTGTGATCTTAATCCTTTTTTTTTTAACTTTTTGTGTGCATATGGGTTTTTTGTCCATAACGTCTGTACCAAAGCTACATTCCTATGCTCTAATTCCTGGGAGGCCAAAGTTAGGAATCGTACTTCGATGGCCTTCAGTTTTAGGTGCAAGAAATGGAAAGGGAAAAAACTTCTGCTGCTTGAAATTAGGAGTGCGTATGAATAGGGGACGGTTTTTCTTTTAATTATTCAATTATTTTTGTTATAATAATTTTAGATATTTAAATTTTTAGACTTAATCCGTCATGCAAGGATGATCCGATGTCTTGTTTAAGGCTGCTATATCTCTAGTAGCTCAAGTAGAGGTCTTACATTCAGTGCTTCCAAAATCGTGCTAATATTATATATAAATAGGCTGAGCCGTACCTTTTCTCTCTTTTTTTAACCCACGTTTTCACCTGGCATTAAACAAATTTTCGTATTAAATTCTACGAAATTATTTTTTACTGAAACTGTCCTCTTTATATTTGCCTTTCCGCGTATTTCCAAACCCTACCCAACTTTTCGAATTTTTGACGTCACGGAATTATCGACTAGTTTCACCTGGCAGTTGCTCTAGGCGAAACTAGTCGATTTTTCCATGACGTCAAATATTCGAAAAGTGGGGTAGGATATGGAAATACGCTGTCTTTCCTTGCACCTAAGCTTGATTTTTCACCCTGTGGGCAAAAAGACTTAGGGGGCGCAAAACAAGAAATTTGCCTACTTTGTTTTATCTGTCTGTGTAGATAGTTAATACCACTTAATACAGGTAGATACTTATAAATTGGATTTGATTTAATACCAGTAGTTGTCATATGTTTACGTTGATGCCTTTTCGGAAAACTGCTTTCGGAATACTTCTGTGTTATTCTCAGTTGGTAACGACGAAAATAATGTGTTGGTATTGATAAGTTAGAATTTTTAAACGTTTAACTGCGAATCTCCTTGTTTTTGGACGAGTTTCATGATTGCAGTAAGATAGTTGTATTAACGTAACATGGTAAAAACTGTAATCTTACCAAGTACTGTTACTAAACGTTTGATTTCGACACTCGGGTGTCCCCCTGCTGTTCACTCGAATGATGAAAGCCAAAATTTTTGTTTGAAAGGTAGCAAAGAGTTTGCTTCTAGATCTGGAAATGTGTTTGGAGAGCTTGAAATACTGGAGAAGAATCATGAGACGTGGGTATCAGAAAATTACACCCATGATTGCTTCGAAGAGCCTGCCAGTAGTACTGAAATATGTGTGAAGACCGAAATTTTCAAAAAACCCACAATCGTTCCACTTTCGAAACGAAGATCTGATTTGCGCTTTAAAAGAAGATCCCAAAAGTGGACCTACTATTCTCTAGCAGACGTACCTATTACATCCGATGCCACAAATGCTGCTGTAGCTGTACAATTTCTAAATGAATTGCGTAAAAGGCATGAAAATAATAACGACGGTGAAAAAAGTCAGAATGAAGGGAAAATAATGTTTTCCAAGCCGACACGGAAACGCAGTAGGCGCTTTCCTCATACCGAGTCTTCTGAGTCTGCAACATCAGAGACTGAAAACTTTACCAATTTAACAATTAATAAAGAAGAAAGAGCTCCAAAAGTGCAGAAAGTTTATAAGCTTTCATCCATTAATGTAAAACTTGATCATCTTCAGAATGATTTTTGAAAATCAAAGAAATCAGTTCATCACAGTTCTTTATTCATTTATAGATTGTAAGTGTCCAGTGATTAATAGTTAGACTGATCCTATTGCATGGTGATTAACTAAATGTTCATTCTTGGAAAATCTACCATTTGATTTTCAAAAGGTATTTAGCCTTTTTTAAAAATTGGATATTAATGTTAAATAAAACCCGAATTTCATAAATTACTTAAGTTTACATTGGTATATCTGTATATCTATATAGAGATTAATTTACTAAAGAAATTATATTATCTCCTAATATAAATTTAGTAGAATATGTCAAAAAGGCTGGTACAATGAGCATTTTCCTGCCGTTGGTTTACTTGATTAATTATATATTACCTTTGGCAGAGATATTAAGATAAGCCAATAACAGAAAACAGTTTTCAAACAAATTAACATAATCATGTAATTAGAAAATTCAGAATTTCGCTTTTATTATGTCAACTGGGTTCCTAGAGTACCTTTCATATTTGAAGCCAGAAATATCAAGTTATTAAACAGGTGGCATGATTATTATATTAGAAATAAGGAAACTCCTTTTTTTGTGTCAGCTATTTTGTTGAAATTAATTGCATGAAACTGTGAACATATAAAATAGTTTGGTTGATCTTTACATTATGGTAACTTGGCGTTTTTTTGGCAAACATTTGGCGACCAACTCTCCTACAGCAACCCTCTATTTTTTTCCCGCTCCCATTTTGTCTTCACGAAGTAAAGACATGTTTGTTTTCTTTTTATCTACTGAACACTTCTTCCAACAATCTACTAGCCGAATTACACTATGCTAGAAATTTTATCTAACAAAATGCTTAATCATGACAAATATTCACTGCAAAATTGGGAAAAAGTGCAAATACCATACTCCTTAGCTTTTTTCAAAATAACACTACACATAAACCATGTACACGCCGACTTATTTTTACTTAAAAAACATCCAGAATTGGCACAAAAATGGCATGCGCACACTCTTCACTATATCCATGTACCTGCTTTTTTCTCATAAATTAAAAAAAAATTTCACGAAAATACATGACAATTTTCTCAATCTTTAAACCCGGTAAAAAAGACATATATGAATTACCTGATCGCGAAAAAAGTAATGAATTTCCACATATAAAATAAATAAAATCCAAAAACTTTTACCTCTAAATCATCTTTACATTATACACGTCACCAACGATTCATACCGCACCATTACAAACTTAGTCAAATTTAAATTCCCATGCACGGAACGCAACTAAACTTACCAAATTCTACAAACAAAAAGGCAAAAAAACTATCATTAATTAAGTAGAATTAATTCAAAACACTTACTTAAAATATAATGAGCACATACATATTTAATAATATAAATACCCATTTCGAATTCACTTTACATAGGGCCATGGGATCCAAAAATTAATCAACACTGTTTCACACAACACACTATGAAGCTAAATACAAAATGCTAAACGCAATAAAAATTTCCAGATTTTTTCCCCGATTTCCTCCCTTTTCCGATTAAGAACCGTAATTCGCATATAGACAACTATCCCATGATCTCCATTTCCCTCACACAAAAAATGCGAATCGGAACTGCGTACTGCTCCTTATTACCAAAGTACCAGTAGTAAACCTTTATCGCCCAAAATGTCGCCAACTCAGACCATATTGTAAAGATCACCAATAGTTAAAGTTAATATTCAGGGTATTTTTGTTAATGTTGATAAGTTTTGTAAATATTCCGAATGATAAATTCATATAATAATATTCACTTTACAGCTAGAGTTCATGTTGGTTGCATCTGTCAAGATATATTGGATTAAAATAATTATAACAATATTTTTTCTCTCTTTAGAACTTGTGCTAGAAAGCAATGTAATGTGTGTGATGTTTTGGCTACTCTTTGAATATGGTAACGTAGTGGCGACATTTTGGTGGGCGATAAAGTTACTATCCAGGCTTTGCAATAATCTAAAATACACAGCTCAGTCACAATATTATTTTGTGGCGACTTTATAATAGATATTTAGCGGAAAGAAATTAATGTAAGTCTATCTTTTGGATTATGGTACCTGGCGATTTTGGCGAGAAGCCTGCTACAGGACCTATAGTTTTTGTTTGATTCATTTGTTTTCACGAAGAAAGGCATGTTTTTTTTCCTTGAACATTTTTCCCAACACTCTGCCCGAATTACCGTATGCTGAACTTTATGGAACAAAGTGCTTAATCATGACGAATTAGTGCGAAATTGGAGAAGTGCAGAATCGCAAACTGCTGCCGTGTTTTAAGATTGCACAACGTGGATCCATGTCACCTCGCCTATTTTCCTTAGAAAAACATCCCAGATTACACAAAAGGCATTGCGACACTTGATTTGTCCATGTACACTGCTAAAGTCCTAGCTAGTAACCTTTATCGCCTTACCAAAATGTCGGCAAACTACCTGTTACCATATTCCAAAGATTAGCCCATGTTTTATTTAGCAGTTGCTTAGAAATGTATGTTCTGAAATAATATTATGATAATTATTTTTGTGCTGCTGTTTTCTTACATTAAGAGGGCAAATTTATTATGTATGCTAGTTTTGTAAGCCATACCATGTTTTGTTTAGCAATTATTTAGAAATACATGACCTGAAACAATGTTTAATGGTGACAATTATTTCTGTACTGCTGTTTTGAACTTCTGTACCTAAGAGGGCAGTTGTAATATGTGTACTAGTCCTATAAGCCATACCATATGTTTTGTTTAACAGTAATGTAATGATTCAAATTAAAAATATAATATTTAACAATAATGCAAGCCAATATGCTTATTAATATTTCAGTAATTTTAATTGGTAAAAAAAAATGGGCTCTACTCTTATATGCGCCCTAAGATCACCAAATGTGGCGATATGTGTTCTGCACTGGTTTTTATGGCTATGAGGAGACAGGCCAAGCCACAAAGCATAAAAAAAAAAAAAAAAAAAGGTTAGCACAACAGAACATAAAACTTAATAAAACATCTGGTAATGAGTTCAGATCATACAATTGCACAAAACGAACATAAAAGCTAAAACAAAGAAGAAAAAAAAAGTAAAGAGCTACATACATTCCAGACACTCTCGGTGAAATAGTATACAAAAGTGTCATTTCCATTTCTGTGTTTTTTCCGAAGTTTAAAATCTTTATAAGTTTTTTTAAGTTATTTAATTATTCAAATCTTCTTTCTATTATCAAATTCATCTTAAATTTATAAGTTACTTCAATATTTCCGTTTTCAGTATGATTTTTTACTTTGTATATCTCGATACCAAATATTCTTATTCTCATCACAGTTTGATGATATCTCTTGCAATTTCTAACAATTTATAGTTACTACTAAATAATCCTCAAACTTCGCAATTTATACAGTGGCGTGCGAGAGGGGGGCATGGGGGTGCATGATGCCCCGGGCGCCGCTCGTAGAGGGGCGCCAATGGTCTCCAAACAAGATTTTCCGGAAAATTTCAGTTTTTTTTTTGACGATTTGTAAAAAATTTAACTTAATACTATTGTAATTATATATATAATTAATTTTTATTTTCTTGATTGGTCTGATAAAAATGTGTAATAAAATGTTTGCAGTACATCAACCAAAACGTTCTTCCTGACCACTTTATTTTCCAAAGTAGAGATTATATTAATATTTTTTTAACGAAATGCACGTATATTCTGCTTTTATTTAAAAAAAAACATTTCTCAAATCCGTTCCAAATCCCGATCCATAATTGGAAAAATGACATTTTAAGCTTCGTTCAAGGATTGCGTTTGACTCTCCTGTAAACTGATGGCCTTCCTGGCTACCGATTCAACTATGTTCTTGCTGAGACATCGTATATTCACTGCTACGAAGCATTCACGCATGTCAATTGTTTTTAACTCCTATTACAAAAGGATACTGCAGTCGCTTCTCACTTCTTATCTAAAGCGCATAGTTTTAGACTTCACAGACTAATTTGCATTCCCAACTTTGTAAAACGTTATTAATTTTCCTTTATAATCTCT